GAGAGATCCCCAAGGAATGCCCTAGACATGCCCACACACCTGCTGACATAGAATCACAGTCAGCAAAGCAAACTGAGCCCCATGCTGGCCAGTGCAAGACAGCCTCATTGTTTGGAGAAGACAGATGGGGCTTGGAGACCTTTTTTTTTTTGACATAGGGTCTCACTGTGTTGCCCAGGCTAGAGTGCAATGGCATCATCATAGTACACTGCAACCTCAAATTCTTGAGCTCAAGCAATCCTCCTGCCTCAGCCTCCCCAGTAGCTGGGACTACAAGTGCGCACCACCACGCCTGGCTAATTTTTCTGTATTTTGTAGAGATGGGGTCTTGCTCTTGCTCTGGCTGGTCTGGAACTCCTGTCCTCAAGCTATCCTCCTGCCTTAGCCTCCCAAGTGCTAGGATTACAGGGGTGAGCCACCAAGCCCAGCCTGGAGACCTTAATTATCCAGGGAGGAGCCTGAGTCGTACAGTAGAGGGAAGAAAAGTAACATTCGTGGATCCCAGTGGGGGGCGGGGGACAAGCACTTTGCATCTCTCTACTCTCCCTCCTTCTCATTTCTCCCACCCCACCAGCACTAGACATTGTTATAGCCCCTACCCCCACCCTAGTGCTCACAGCTATCTCCTAACTAGATTCCTAGCTCCTGCTCAGCCTCATTCTGGTCATTGTGTTTTCTTGCCCTCTCTGGGACACAAGTCCTTGGCCCGTGTATAGGTCGTTGTCTGCTGAGTGCCCGCCTATGCCGCATGCTGGTGTGGCGCCATCTGGGCACTTGTCTGTGTCTATACAGGGGGCATGTTGCTGTCAGAGAGTGTGTTTGCAAAAGGGCCTTGGGTTCCTGCGGCTTTTTATGTCAAAGAATGAGTGAGCCACTAATCCAAATTGCCTGCATTGTGTTCCCTCTGGGTGTGAGTCTTGGAGGGTTCCCTTTGGCACCACACCCTCCAGGATTTAGGATTCCTGATTCCTCAACTTCCTTCCAGGCCCAAGCCAACCTGGCTTTACTACCTGTCTCCATAGTTTGGGGGAGGGTGGGGGTGCCAGAACCCCTGTGTATGGGAAGTGGCTTTAACACATGCCACTCCCGAGCCCCCAAAACGTCTGTTTGACACCTCCTGTTGAGATGTACTGCCGACTCCCAGCACCCTCGAAGCAGCCTCCTCCCATTGTCCCCTCTCTGCCTGAGCACTTTGCCAGATAAATACCTGCCGGCAAAGAGGAAGAGACAGAGCCCTCCCAACCCTCCTCTGACCCCCAGTTCTTGGGAGCATTGACTTTAAACGAGCAATAAATCAATCAGCCTGGATGCTTTGGAGGGCAAGAACTTGAGCGGGTCTCACAGAGGGTCACAGGGCGGGACCTCAGCCCTCCATCCGGTAGCAGACAGCCAGCCAGGCTCCCACCGCGGCCGAGGTAGGGGAGTCCAGCCCGGCTGACCGCCCCACGCCCTGTGCCTCTCCTCCCTCTGTCCGAACGACTTTGCTCCGTGTGAAGACTACTCATCTCACTGTGTTTTCCCTTGAACTCCTGCTGCATTCCAGTATGAGTCAAATGGTTGTATGCAATGAAGACATTGACAATAGCCTCCAATAGGCAGAGAGAACTCAAGCTCGGCTCTAGGCTGTCAAGGGCATTGGGAGGAGGTAGGAATTGCAGAAGGACACGGAAATGAGTCCCCGCTGAGGCATTTGCCTGAAGTCCCGGGATATAAAGGCCACTGGCCTTCTTCGGGAAACTGCTTTCAGAGCAAGTGAGCTCACATCTGCTGCGTGTCTGTCATATGTAAAACATACAGCCTTGGGAGGGGGACACAGAAGGCCACCAGGACCTCACCCTCTGGTAAGGAAATAGACATCCCAACTCTGGGTGCTGTAATAAATGCACATGGGGCTGGGCACGGTGGTTCACACCCGTAATCCCAGCACTTTGGGAGGCCAAGGTGGGAGGATCACTTGAGTGCGGGAGTTCGAGACCAGCGTGGGCAACACAGAGAGATTCCATCTGTACAAAAAAATCTTAAAAATTAGCCAGGCATGGCGGTAGGCACCTACGGTCCTAGCTGCTCAGGAGGCTGAGGCAGGAGGATCGCCTGAGCCCAGGAGTTTGAGGTTACAGTGAACTGTGATAGCACCACTGCCCTCCACCCTGGGCAAAAGAGGGAGACCTTGTTTTCTGGGGAAAAAACAACAACACACACATATTATAAGGAGAAGAGAGAATGTGATTCCCAATGGAAGGAGCTAGGAAGAGTGTAGGAAGGTAGGATTGAACTGTAGCTGGGACTACAGTTGCACGCCACCACGCCTGGCTCCATGGACTTTCTTTAAAGAGAACCCCTGACTGTGTGTGTATCACAGGGTTTCCCTGCAGTGGGGATGGTGCTGGCGGTGGTAGGATTGAAAGGGGCCTTGAAGGAAGGGTAATTAGACAGGCAAACTCGGGAAGAAAGGCCTGCCAGGCAAAAGGAAGAGTTTGAGCAAAGGTTTGGAGACAGGAATGTGTCAAGTGGGGAGGGGAGGTGGCCTAAAGCAATAATGTAAAAGATAAAGTTTGACAGATTAGAAGAATGTATATTTGGGAGAAATTTAAAGAACCCTGTTGAGGAGTTTAGACCTCACCCTACAGGTCCATGGTTTTTAAATGAAAGTAGAACCATTTTCTTAAATAAAAGCTTATGTGTGACTACACAAGCCCAAAGAGGAGAGCTCTGGTTCAAAGGCAAGGAGGGGAGCGTGGAGCCCCCTCACTACCACCACCAGCACCAGCACCATCCCCACCGCAGGGAAACCCTGTAATACACACACAGTCACGGGTTCTCTTTAAAGAAAGTCCATGGAGCCAGGCGTGGTGGCGCGCAACTGTATTCGCAGCTACTCAGAGGGGGATGAGGTCGGAAGATCCTTGAGCCCAGGAGTGCAAGGTTGCAGTGAGCTATGCTCAAGCCTGTGAATTAGCACTGTACTCCAGCCGGGGCAACATAGTGAGACCCTGTCTCTAAATTACAAAAAGGAAGACAGTCCATGTAATCATGCCCTGTGGGATGCCCTGCAATTGGTTCTAAAGTTTAGCAATGTGTGTTAAACATCTTTTCCTAAGAGAACATGCAACAAACCTCATTTCTTTTCAAACACTGTTGTATTCTGTTGTGTGAACACACTGAACTTGGCTTACTCCAACCTTGTATTAATGAAAATCATCACAAACATGACTTTTTCTTATAATTGGCTTTGCTATTAAATGTGAAGTTGAAAAAAAAAAAAGAGAGCGACAAAAAGAAAAGAAGAACACTGCTTACAGGTGATGGGGAACCAGTAAAGGACTTTTGAGCAGGACACTGATGTGGTGGGATTTGTGAGTTGGAAAACTCACCCTGTCCTCCGTGGAGGAGGTGGACGGGCGTGGAGAAGCTGGCAGGAACGGGACCCATGGAGAGATGGTGGTCCAGAGCGCTAGGGCGAAGAAGGACTAGACTGAGGCAATGGCAGAGGATGCTGGGGTGGGGACAGATGGCTCTGCCATTGCACTAATGTATCTCCTGCACCCCCTTCTCACAGACCACCTGCCCCAGGGACCAGAAGGAAAGACCCAGGTGGGGGAATGGGTCTGCGCACATTGGGAGTGAGTGTGTGACCCGCAACTGGGGCCCCTGGCAAGAAAAGCCCTATGGTAGCCAAGGCAACCACCTCCTGCTTGAGGGGGAACCCTTGCACTCCTGAAAGGGGAGCAGTGTGAGGCCACGCAGAGCCTGGGAGACAGAGTACCCCATCCCATCCTTGGCCTCCCTGGGGCTCATCATTTATATGATTGCTTTTCTGAACCCACATGAGTTGGTTCTAATTAGTTTTGAATTGCCATGGGGAGGGGGTTTATAGGGGAGGAGTGGGAAGAACAGAGCTGGGAAGTGAGGAGGAGCAGGTGCAGGGGACAGCTGCGAGTGAAAGGTGTGAAAACAGGCACTAGGTCTTCCTTTGCGGTTAGCTGGGTAAACAACTTGAGTAATGGGGTGATGAGGAGGCGCAATGGGGCGAGGAGGAGGAAGAGGAGGAGGAAGAGGAGGAGGATGGGGAGGAGGGAACTTCCGTAGACATAGTGGGCATGACCCCTCTACTTGGAACAGGCTACCTCCCTCCCCTGTGCCTGGTCTCTCTGTATCTCCTGCCCATCCTCCTGCCTCTCTGCCTCTGGGCTTTCTGCTTCTGAGCTCTCCTTGCTGAAGGGAGCTTGCCGGTGATGGGAAGTGGCCGTGAGTGTTGCATCTGCTGCTCTTCCGGCTGCCTTTAGAGGGAAGCCCAGGCAGTGCTGCTTAGTGGGAAGTATTGGCTCTGGAGGTAGACAAATGTCGGTTCAAACAAACCTGATCTTTAGCAAGACATATCTATAAAGCAGTAATATTATTACATACCTTGAGGTTCTGGTGAGGATTAAACCAGAAGGGAGGCTAGTACTACCGTTTTGATAACAATGAAGACAGTCAGGAATAGGACCACATCAGCCCCACCCCCACCCCCAGCCCCCAGCGGGATCCTAGGTTCAGAATTGGAAGAGATGCCTCTTTGTCCCAACCAGATCCGTTCCCAAAATTGAAGTTCTGTGCTTCCAGAGCCTGCAGGCATCTGTACCTGAGGACACAAAAACACAAAATAACTCAGAGGGACACAGCCCTTCAGAGTGTAGGAAGCAGGTCTACGCCATGTACCTCCCTTTCTCTCGTCTCTACTCTCTGGGGAATGAGCCCCTTTTACAGATGAAAAACTGAAGCTGTAAAAGACAAAGTGATTTGTTCAAAGTTGAAATTGGAACATATGAAATTTGAAATGTGGTCAGTAGGACACGTGGGAACGCAAGGACAGAAGCAGTGAGCCCGGAGGGGTAGGAAAGACCTCCCAGGGAGTTAGGGTTCCTCACCCTCCTGTCTTCTTACCCTTGCAGTACAAGGAGCTGGACAACTACAACGACAGCACGGATCCCCCCCTGGTGGAAAATCACCTCTGCTCCACCGTGGAGGGGCCCGTAATGACCACCTTCAAGGCCGTGTTCATTCCCGTAGCCTATAGCCTCATCTTCCTCCTGGGTCTGATGGGCAACATCCTGGTGCTGGTGATCTTGGAGCGGCACCGGCAGACGCGCAGCTCCACCGAGACCTTCCTGTTCCACCTGGCCGTGGCCGACCTCCTGCTGGTCTTTATCCTGCCCTTTGCGGTGGCCGAGGGCTCAGTGGGCTGGGTCCTGGGGACCTTTCTCTGCAAAACTGTGTTTGCTCTGCACAAGATCAACTTCTATTGCAGCAGCCTGCTCCTGGCCTGCATTGCTGTGGACCGCTACTTGGCCATCGTCCATGCTGTCCACGCCTACCGCCACCGCCGCCTCCTCTCCATCCACATCACCTGCGCCACCATCTGGCTGTCGGGCTTCATCTTCGCCTTGCCAGAGATTCTCTTCGCCAAGGTCAGCCAGCCCCATCACAACGACTCCCTGCCACGCTGCACCTTCTCCCAAGAGAACCAAGCTGAAACCAACGCCTGGTTCATCTCCCGCTTCCTCTACCACGTCGGGGGGTTCCTGCTGCCGATGCTGGTGATGGGCTGGTGCTACGTGGGGGTAGTTCACAGGCTGCGCCAGGCCCAGCGGCGCCCGCAGCGGCAGAAGGCGGTTAGAGTGGCCATCCTGGTGACGAGCATCTTCTTTCTCTGCTGGTCACCCTACCACATCGTCATCTTCCTGGACACCCTGGCGAGGCTGAAGGCCGTGGGCAACAGCTGCGAGCTGAACGGCTCTCTCCCCGTGGCCATCACCACGTGCGAGTTCCTGGGCCTGGCCCACTGCTGCCTCAACCCCATGCTCTACACTTTTGCCGGCGTGAAGTTCCGCAGTGACCTGTCTCGGCTGCTGACCAAGCTGGGCTGTGCTGGCCCTGCCTCCCTGTGCCAGCTCTTCCCCAGTTGGCGCAAGAGCAGTCTCTCTGAGTCAGAGAATGCCACCTCCCTCACCACCTTCTAGGTCCCAGTGCGCCCTTGTTTCTGCTTTCCATGGCGCACACGGTGATGCAGAAGCCCTTCCAACACGAGCTGGGATCCTAAGAGCTCACCTTGGCCAGTGTCCTCAGATGGACCAACTCCTCTTTCTAGAACATCCCTGCCAGCTCTTCTGCCAGCCCTGGGGCTAGGCTGGAGCCCAGAAAGGGGAAAGCAGCCCAACGGCAAAGCAAAGGATTCTGTACCCACCTGCATCTCCTTGGGCTGAGAGGGCCCCAAACACCTCTCATCCTAACCATCCAAAGCTCAAGAAACAACGTTTACTTCTGCCCTTGCCTAAGGGGAAAGTCGGTCCTGTCCCAGGGAGAGTACATCATCTTAAGGGCCACTAACCGTCATAGCTGCTCCTCTCTCCTACACCACCTGCCAAACACAGGAGAAGCTGAGCACCAGGGGATGACTGGAATTTAAGGCTGAGGGCCAGGCACGGTGGCTCACGCCTGTAATCCTAGCACTCTGGGAGGCCGAGGCAGGAGGATCGCTTGAGATCAGGAGTTCGAGACCAGCCTGAGCAAGAGTGAGACCCTGTCTCTACCAAAAATAGAAAAAATTAGCTGGGTGAGGTGGCTTGTACCTGTAGTCCCAGCTACTCAGGAAGCTGAGGCAGGAGGATCGCTTGAGCCCAGGAGTTTGAGGTTGCAGTGAGCTATGATGATGTCACTGCACTCTAGCCTGGGCAACGGAGTAAGACCTGGAGGTGGAGTGGAGAGCTCCCAGGGTGGCCCAGGGGAGGTGGGTCGTGGCACTGATGGGGAAGGAGGCCATTTTTGTCTTCCCCCTGCTCCTTCCCACAGGCTACAGGGCCAGCGGAATCACTAGAGCAGTAGAGGGCCCCCGGCCACAGCAGAGGGAGCTGTGAGTTAGAATGGAGATGCAGACCCCTGAGGGGAAAGATAGACTGAAAGGGACCTCTGGGAGTCATTTCATCCAGCCCCCAGACATGGCGTCACCTCAGACAGGGGAGTGCAAGAAACAGGCTGGGGCAGGGAAGTCCCCAGGCCCCAGGAGGCCATGACCTGCCCCTGGGAGGATACACTCAGATGGAACCAGAGGAAGCTGCTCCGTGCTCACTTGGGGTGGGGCCTGCCAGGCAGCTCTGGGCTCTCCCTCCCTCCTCCCCAGCCCCTGGGTGGGGAGTCAGGGACCCCTGCACTTGCTGAGAGCAATTCCGGGTTGCCCAGTGCCCCTCAGGCCAATCAGCCACTTGCTCCCTGGGAGGCCCCTGCTGGGGAAACCACAGCTGTGGCCCAGGGGACTATGTCTTCACGGTGGGACACTGAGGAAGCCCTAGGGTCCCCTTTCTTCTCCCAGCATCTAATATCAGCGAAGGAGCCAGACACAGAAGCAAATAGGCAAGAGATTGGATTTTGAATTTTCTTTTTAATAAAAAGGCACCTATAAAACAGGTCAATAGGTCAATACAGTACAGGCAGCACAGAGACCCCCGGAACAAGCCTAAAAATTGTTTCAAAATAAAAACCAAGAAGATGTCTTCACATATTGTATTTATATATTTATATTTATATATATATATTTATATAATGGTACAAAATGGCTGGGGATATGGCCATGGATGGAGGGAAGAAGTAGGCTGGCCTGTGGCAGAGGTGGGAGAAGAGGGGACAGGGAGGGCACTGGGCCTCTTACGGTCTGACCCCTCTCTCCTCAGGGCAGGAAACATTTAGAGTCAGACAGGCTGGGAAGCCTGGGGACAGGGGTGGGGGCTCACGGGCACAGGGCCCAGATTGGGGCAGGCGGGCAAAGCGCCTGGCAGGATGGAGGGCAGGTGGCCCCTGGCAGGTGCCGGGGAGTCAGGAGCCTGCAGCCAGCCCGGAGGAAGCGCTAGGCCCGGCTGGCGGTGGACTGAGAGCACAGCACCAGACTGGGAGGAGTGGGGCGAGTTCCCTTTGCGTTACAGCTGCCAATGTGAGACCAGGCCCTGTAGGTCAGAGAGGCTGGGGACGGGGTCCTGGTAGAAGACACCCTGTCTAGAATGGCCCTTGGCCCTGCCAGGGAACTGCCCTGCCACCTCACAGGCAGGAAAGGAAGTGAGAAAAGGAGAAGTTTTTTACTCCTGGGGCCAAGGGGAGCAAAACACCCAGTCGTATATGGCTTCATCTCTGACCAGAGGCGGATGGGGAGCTCTTCTGGGAAAAAGCAGGGAGCTGAGGGGGAGGCAGTGGCTGTGCCTGGGTGGGCACAGACAGATCTGGTACATGGTCCCGAGCCCTGGGCAGAGGGACCTTGCCGGTGAGTGGGCAGGCAGAGAGGAGGCAGCAGGAGCTGTTTTCCCTATTCCATCCTCAGGAGGTGGAGGCTGGAGGGGAGGCAGACTGACTCAGACAAACCCTGTTCCTTTCTCCTTTGGTAAGAAGTAGGTGGCAGCCTGTGGAAGAGTCAGGGCCCTGGAGGTTACCTGGCCCAGGGCTACTGTGGCACAGCCCCAGAGGCACCATGCCACCCCTCCATGGCTCCACTCAACGGGGCATACAGCCACCGCCTCATCCTCCTTTCCTTCATCCCAGACTGGGGAACAAAGGACTTCAAGTTCTGGCTAAGATGTAGCAGCAGGGGACACCCAGACATCCACAGCGGGGAGTCAGGGCCCCATGTCACCGGTGTGGGCAAACACGCATGCACGTACATGCATGTTCTCCCTGAATCACTCAGCAGCAGACAGGCTGCCGCCCTGGGGGGTCTCAGCCCTGCTGGGGCTCACCAGGTGGAAGCCTAGGTGGTCTGACCTCGGTTTCGGTGTGGGGCATCTAGGTCATTTTACCATTTGGGGAGGAGACAGGAATGGTATCCCTTCTGGACCCAGAGACACGGCAAACAGTGGGTGGGGGTGTAGGGCTGCATGTCCCTGGGTCCAGGGGAATGGAGGGGGCAATAATTTGAAGAAGGGGGAAGGGTTTCTTTTATCCTTTTTTTTTTTGTGTGACGTCTATCAAAACACAGAAATACAGCACACACACAAACCGGCACAAAAGCGCAGCGCTCTATTTACAGCTATGGCTGGCACCTGCCCACCTGGCCAGCCACCTGCAGGGAGGGGTGGGAGAGGGGGTCAGCCACATCAGCAGGAAGAGGAAATGAGGCAGGAAAAGACAGAAGGAAAAACAGGGGGCACAGGGGAACCAAAAGGAGGAAGGTGGGGCTCGAGCAATGAAGAGACGAGACAGTGGCAGAAAGGAATGGGGGAGACCTCGCCTCTCCTTCCTCTCTCCCCCAACGCCCCCAGACGGACTCCAAAAGCATAGCTGAATCGGGACAGGGTTCAGGGCAAGAGGGAAAATTGAGGCTCCATAGGAATTGGGGGCAGTGGGGAGAGGCAGTCCTGGTGGCCGAAATGGAACAAACCCCACACCAAACCCCCACCCCACTCTGCCACCTCCCCTAAGCTGCCAGCACATCTGGTTTCCACAAATGCCACTCCCCACACAAGCCCCCTCCCACCCTCTCCACCCCACCCCTTGACCCAGGCCATCCCAACACTGGAGGGGAAGAACTTTTTAAGGTTATCATATTTGCAACATTGCCCCGGCTTCAGCCCCCAGCAGGGACTTCTAGAAGGGCAGGTTGGCCATGCTGCCCGGCGCCGGGAGGTAGCCCATCTGGCTGTCCAGAGACACACTGCGTTGCCGCAGGGGGTGAGACACCATGAGGTTCTGCTGGGGCGGGGGGCCCATGAGGGAGCCCTGTGGGGAGAGCATGTGGGGGGGCTGGCTGTAGACCTCTCCCCCCACGCCCCGTTGCTTCATCAGCATGAAATTCTGCTGGGTCATGAGGCCTTGTGGAGGGGACATGACCCCCTGGTGCAGGCCGTGGGGCACCATGCCCTGCTGTGGGGGCACGCCTGTCCTGCCCAGCAAGGACATCTGTCCGGGGTGGCACATGGACATGTTGAGCCCCCGCTGAACGCCCTGCTGGCCCGGGAGGTTGGGGGGCCGAGAGGGGGTCTGCTCCGCCATCATGTTCTGCAGGTTCATGAGATGCAGATTGGGGGGCTGGGTCTTGGGGGGCTGGTTCTCGCTCTTAGGGAAGTACTGGAGGGTGCTGCTTGGCTTCTCGGAGGGGATGATCCTTGACAAGTCGAATTCGGGGATCCCCGTTGGGGTGGGCCGGATCACCTCGCTCAGCTCAGGGTCGTTCAGCACTGATGCCACCCCGGGGAGCACGCCCGGTGGGTATGTGTCACCCATGCGCCCAGCCATGCCTTTGGCCATCAGGTGCTGCTGGGGGGGCATGGGGCCAGGTGGCTGGCTGGGCAGGTCCTCTGGGGGCAGGGGCATGCCTGAAGGGTAGTGCTGCTGCAGGCCAGGCCCCCCGCCCCCACCCCCAGCGGGGGCCATGGCACCATGGGGCTGCTGCAGCCGAGGGGGGAAGGGCACCATCTGGGAGGAGCTGGGCACGGGCCCGCAGGGGGCATTCAGGGAGTCTGGGCCCCCCGGAGCCATCATCATTGAGTTTTGAGGGGGCCCTCCTGTCCCCTGCGCACTGGGGTGCAGTGGAATGTTGGAGCCCAAGGGGGTGGGGGAGGGCAGCATGGTAGGTGGGGGCTCATGGGACAGGGGCTGCTGGCCTGGCAGGTTCATGCCCATGGGGCTCTGGGCAGCAGCTGAGTTCAGGTGCATCTGGCTGGGCTGGTTGCTGCTGATCCCTGTGGGAAAAGAGGATGAGGAGGTCAGGCACTGTGTGCACCCAGAAGGGGTAGGGTGCACAACGCAGTCCTTCCCACCCCCAGCCAGGTGGTGCCAGGGGTGAAAGCGGTCATCAGTGACTTCCCCTGGCTCGGGGGGAAGGAACTGGAGGGGTTTAAGCTAGAAGCCAAGAGACCAAGTTCGGACCCAGTTCCCCATGGACACGTGGCTGGGTGTTGGAAAGACCACTCAAATGCTCTGAGATGGGTGGCACTGAGTGATTCCAGCGGGTGGAACAGCATCCTGGGACCTCACACCCCCACCC